CAATAATAGAAGTGAAATAATTCACTCACTTATAAATAAGATAAGAACAATAAATTATTATTCTTGTTAAACTATTAAGGATATGAACCTCAAAGAACTAAAAGGTTAATACACTCTTATCTTACTAAAAAAGACTAAAAAATCACTCAAAAATAATATATTATTAAACTAAAATGGCTATTGCCAAAAACTAGAAGATTAGAAAATTTGGAAAAAAGACTAAAGACTAGAAAAGTATTGACAAGAGTAAAGAAGGCTTTGCTCTTATCTCCATATATACTCTCTAACTAAGAGCTATATTGTGATTTTTTATAAGATCTCCAATATGTGTTGACTTTACTAGACATATGTCTTGACTTGCAAGATAAGTTATCTATATGTGTGCCACATAGTTAACTTGTTCAAGAAGCTACTAATACATGTGATACATGATTAAGTTGTTGACTAAGTTTCTAACCTATCAATTAATTACAAATACATGTAAAGTCAAAACTACATCTATAAAGCTTCTAAGAAGCTTTTTTAGAAGATATTATGAAATTAATCTCTATTTATCTACTTTTGCTTAATTTTATCCAAAATATAATTTAAGTTCTTATTATATCCAAAATTTTTAATTATAGGACATTTTGGATACAATAAGAACTTAAATTAATACCAAGAGATTTTTGATAGCCTCATATATAAAAATTATTTGAGAACTTTGTAAAATTATGTAATATTCATTTAAAATTGAAAATTCCTTGTCATCAATCTTATGAACTTCTTTAGCCATTATTTATAATAGAACAATCATAGTAATTTGTTTTTATAGATTTTATCTTCAATCTTCTAATTTTAAGTTTTTATGACTCTATATTTGTGATAATATATGGTTTCACTAAGATGGCATAATTTTTATAATGTACAAAATCTATTACAAATAAAGAAATATCTAAGTTTTTTTTTGGCAATATTTATTACTATCACAAATTATTAAGAGATATTATATCTAATAAAGAAACTCAATTTATATTAAGGATTTAGAAAATATTTTTTAAGTTATTGAAGGTCAACATAAAACTATCTTTAGTTTTTTTTCTTTAAAACAATTAACAAATAAAACTAGTAAATCAAGATTTGGAATAATATTTGAAATGTACTATGAATTACTATAAAGATGATTGGATTTTTTTTTTATTAACAGACTTATCATAACATAATATATTTTATTATTCAAAAAAAATTATATTAATTGTAATTAACATCTATAATTTGATACTTTTAACATTGTAAAAGTTAATAATTATGAAGAAAAAGATGAATTTTTTTTTATCAAAGCTACATGCAACAATGAATACATAATTAAAAGAAGCTCAATAATAATAAAATAATAATTTATATGTTTCTTATAAAGGAAAAATTTAATTCTATATTGGCAATAAAGTATAATTTTTTTGTTGTAATATTAAGAATAATTTTTATATGATAAGTTGGATTATTATAAACTTGAATCATTTTTTATTTGTAAAAAAATCAATCCAATTGCTTATCAATTACAATTACCAAGCCTATGAAGATCCATCTAATATTCTATGTGTCTTTTTTAAAATCATATAAGATAGTGGATATACCAAAAAAAAGATAAATGCCACTTCTTCTTACAAAAATAGACAATAATCAAGAGTTCAACATAAAAAAAAGTTTTAGATTCAAAGATTTGCTGAAATAAATTAAAATATCTTATATATTAGTGTAGATATGATATTAAAGAATGCACATGGAAAACAATCTAGAATCTTGTGAATACAACAAAGAAGGTTGATGCTTTTCATCAATAATATCCATCAAAAATCAAGATAAAGAATTATACAATTCTTGATTATAAAAGAAACAAGATCTAATAAAGATTATATTTTATCTTTTATCTTTATTTGAGATTTTTTCTATATTTATAATACTAAAGAGATTAAAAAACAATAACTTGTAGTTTCAATTCATGAATTATTATTGGCTATATGGTGCATATGTAGGAAAATTTTCTTAGAAGTTAGATACATGTTTCACAAGTTGGACACATATTAGAGGTTTTATAAAACTAAGATCCTAGTTAGATATTATATATATATATATATATATAGAGAGAGAGAGAGAGAGAGAGAGAGAGAGCGAGAGAGAGAGAAGAGTGAAGCCTTCTTTACTCTTGTAAATACCTTTTTTATTCTTAGTTTTGTTTAAAGAATCTCTGATCTTCTTGTCTTTGACAATAGTCGTTCTACTTTTAATATTATACTATTTAAAATAAATATCTACTCTTTTTAAGTGACATATGAGTGTATCAAGGTTTTTATTATTTATAATTTATGTCTTTGATATCCAAAAGAAGCCTTGATATATCTTCTAAGAAAATGGATAATTTATAAATTATACATTGAAAATTCAAATCTCTAAATTTTATTAAGATTTAAGTTATTATTAAGTTCTTTCAAAAATATTGATCAATAGAATTCTATTTTTACTTAGGATTTCTTATTCAACTATGAATGGAATAAAAGTTCAATACATTGATTGCAAATCAAAAGAACTTAGTCCAAATTAATAGCCTAGTTTCAATTCAAAGATTCAAAATCATTATTTAAATTAAAAAAAATAAATCTTTGTAGTAGAACTAAGAATTCTTTATTATTAACATACACATTATCTCAGTTAGAATAGTTGAACCTTATAAAAAAAACATAATAAGAATCAAGGATGAATAAAATTATTCAATGAATTATTTATATAATTTAAAAGTTATTATAAGATTTGATCTAAATCATAAGAAAGATTATCTTTGGCTATAATTAATAAACCAATATCCAAAATATTAGAAAAGACTTCTTTGTTATAGAATGAAACCTCTAAAATCAAATGACTTAGTTTCTATAACATTCTTGAAGCACTATTATTGATTTTTTTTTTATCAACTAGCTACTCTTAATCTTTTTATTTGATTTAATAATTGGTTTAATATGCATAAATCTTTAAAAATTAAATACTACACATTTGGCAAAAAAATAAGACTTCTTATTTTTAATTCTAAACTATTATTAATACAAGAATCAATCTTTGTACTCACATTTGCATCAAACATAATAAGAGCAGAATTTTATGTAAAAATAACAAAATTAGGTATTAAAATATAAGTTGCAAGTGAATTTAATAAAAATCTTAGTCATTCTTTGAAATACTTGAAAATTGTGTCTTTGATCCATAAGCATATTTATAAAAAAAAAGATGTAACATCAAAACTTATATGTCCAAACTTCGCAAAAAACTCCTACAAAAAAATCATAAAGCTTAGAATTTAGCCACATTAAAATGAAGTGACAAATTTGACAAAACTTATGTCTTCAAATGAAAAGATGTCTTGTAAAAATCCAATGCTAAGAAAGATGCCATACTTATCAAGCTAACACACAACAAAGGCCTTATTATTAATATGTAGAGAGTATGAGCTAATAAAGATACTTTACATCTATATCACATTTGGAACTTATTTTACAAATTTTGGAAATGCCTCCTAAATAAAAAAGCATAAGACTAGATTGCATTGATGTTACACAAATTTATCACCAATTTTAGAAGACCTAATTCTTAGCCTATCTTATAATAGAAGTAAGAAAAATTTGTAGAAATAATCCATCATGAATTTGATAAGTTTAAAACAATTTGGTCTCTATTAAGAAATACATGCATATGGAGAATTTAAAAGCAATGCAATGACTTTCCTTTTAAGAAAAGTTAAAATAGAAATTTATTCCAATCTCCTAGAATATAATAGAATGGTGTAGAAAATTACTCTAGACATTGTTAACAAGAAAGTTTAGAATATCAAAGATTTGTTTTGCTATTAGGACAAAACTTGGATGGTCATGGAAATAATAGGAGCTAGACATAAAATTGGGTAGAATTTAATTCCTTCTTGTGGAGGCATAATTGTACACAATAATTTAGCAACTAGCATACCAAAACACTTAATCTAGTAACTTTGATAATGCTTTATATATTGCCTAGTTTTTTGGATCTCATGTCTTTGCATGCCATTTACTTATCTTCCTAATCAATGCACTGAGTATACCTTGGCCATATCAAAAAAGAAAAAGAAAAAAGACTACAACCTTTGTAAATTAACACATGCTACCGGAATCCACATATCCGATGCATTACATCAAACCTCTTAAACATATCACTTGGATTGTGGCAAAAACAATAAATGCAAATTGGTCCCAAATTATTCAATGAGAATGGGCTCAAACAATTATTCTCTGCACAAGAATAGGTCACACGTAATGCAATCTCAGGATTTTTCAGTTTACCATGGATCCACATGCTTTTCCCTGAACCAGCACCGTTCCTACTAAATCACATACAATCCTTACACTATTAGCAAAGGCTACACACCATCAGTATCATAAACCCAAAAATACTAGAAACAGAAGAAAAAAAAATTATGCGTAAAAAAGTTTTAAAAAATTACGAAGCTGCGAACCGGATCTATAAATGAATACGAATTCGGCGTGGACAACAGACACGTGACCCTTCACACACCTTGCGTGTTCGAAACTTTGCTTCCCCATCCCTTTCGATTCCATTTCCAGTTTCCTGAATGGTGGAAGCAACACAACGGGGAGTAATTGCAGCGGGAAACGGCTGCAGACATGACACCCGTGGCGGGTCGCAACGACAGATTGCACTACCAAAAATATCTATGCGGCATTGCGTCGATGAATAAACTAGATCTTTCACAAACGCGGCGTGACAGTGGGTCGTCACTCGTTTCCACGTGCGACCGTTGCTGGATCTTAATCTCCCCATTCACACCCCAGCTCAGATCGTTTTGCGCACAAGTGGCGCGTTGGGTGTTACGAGATCCTTGCCGTGGTAGCTCGTGGGATGAGTATTGTCACGATCTGGATGAAGTCTGAGCGTCGGGGTTGACTCATCTAGGTACTACGCTCAATCTTGCTTGCTTTATAAGTCGACCTTGTGCTTCACATAGAAATGCGTTGTTGTGTCACTCAAACCGATCTAGTTATTGAAATTTTGTGGCACGCCGGAGATATTTCTGAGTTGAGGTGGGTCTTTCAATTGTTGAGTGGTAGTAAGAGCGTGTGTTCATGTCGGCAAACAGTGCTACCGCTCAAGGACCATGGGGAGGGTCAGGCGGGCACCCTTTCTATGATGGCAGAGGTGATGTTGTCGAGATTGATGTCACCTACACCAACGACCATGTGACCAAGCTGCAAGTCGCGTACGCGGAGAGCACCGGCAGCCGGTGGCACAGTCCTACTCATGGTTCGCATGGCGGTCATGACGAGAAGGTAACGAATTGAGGACTTCGCTAGCTGACTTTTAATGGATATTTGTGCGCAGTGATCTCTGTTTGTTTCGATGTTGGATGATTGGAGTTGCTGAATCGATGGCTTGTTTTGGGTTAGTAGATAACGCTAGATTACCCGGAGGAGTACCTTACGCAAGTAGTGGGCACATACGGGAGGTGTATAAATTCGATCTCCTTCATCACGAACAAGGGGACGTATGGGCCTTTCGGGAACACGGAAGGGGAGGGTTTCGAATCTCCAGCGGATGTGGTTATAGTTGGATTCTTTGGTCGATCTGGTTCCATTATCGACCAGCTTGGAGTGCTCACAATCGAAGCCAGTGTCGACAATGTCCAGGTTTTGTATCAGTTCTACCATTCTCTTCCCCCAGATTATTTGGATCCCCAACTTCTTCCATATTCTTTCGATCTCATCGTCCTTGAATGTTCATTCTAGATGAAGCATTTCAGAGATGGTATTTTAATTAGTGGAAACATCTAATCGATATTCAGCTGGACAAGCCTTTGAAAAGTACCGTGATAACGCAAGGACAATGGGGAGGGCATGGAGGATATGACTTCTGCGATGGCAGAGGCGATGTTGTGGAGATCACGGTGAAATATGACGATGAATGCGTGCATTTGTTACAAGCCGAGTACCAGCACAGTGGTGATCGATTCTCAGGTGCTTGTCACGGTGAAGGAGAGGAAGGAGAAGAAGCCAAGGTAAATGAAATAGGAACAATATCACTCAACTGCTTTACCGAATCTTAAGCTTCAGGTTCCATGAGAATGCACAGAGAGCTTCGAATCCTGCGACAATCATTTTGTTGATATACTTGCTGGCTATTGTTGTGCAGGTTTCGCTGAACTTCCCAACCGAGCGTTTAATGCAAGTGAAGGGCACTTACGACCCTCGCGGCTATCTGACCTCAATCTCATTGATCACCAACAATGAAACATACGGACCTTTCGGAAACTCCCGAGGACAGCACTTTCAGTCTCTGCCTCATGGTGTTTTGGGGTTCTGTGGCAGAAGTGGTCGAGTGGTCGACCAACTGGGAGTACTCACTTACGTTGAAAACCCTTGGAATTCTCATCTCGACAAAAAGGTATTGGATTGTGTTGATACTCTTCAATTCTGCGAGTTTCAAGGTTGTTTGTTGATGAAGGCTATGCGCTCTATTGGTTGCATAACTGAAGCACTTGAATGTGTTTGTATGAAATGTAGCCTGCACGCCTTGAAATCTCGACGGTTGTCAACGGGCCATGGGGAGGCTCCGGCGGACAAGATTTCTATGATGGAAGAGGTGACGTCGTGGAGATTTTAGTGAACTTCAGCAAAGTTGCCGTAACCACGTTGCAAGTGACATATGAACAGTGCGGCACTAGATTCGAGGGCGCTCCTCATGGTGGCGCAGGCGGAGACTCCTGGAAATCCCAAATTGGGATAGGCAAAAATTTAGGTGAAGAATCCAGCAAGGTATATACTCCTAAACCTGATTTTGATCTGACACGAACGACAATCTAACATTCTGTGGAGCTGCTGCTCCATTACAATTGATTGGCGTTCAACCTCCCATGTGAATGCTTACACTTTGTTTCGCTCTGTGTGGGCAGCTTTGTCTGGAATTCCCAGAGGAGTTTCTGTTGCAAGTGAAGGGTACATATGGACCAATTCCTTCACGTACATCCGATGCAGTGACATCGCTAACCTTCGTCACGAACAAGCAAACATATGGTCCTTACGGTGTTCCCAGCGGCCAAGAGTTTGAGACTCCTGCAACTGGAGTTGTAGGATTCTTCGGCAAAGCGGGTGCCCGTCTAGATCAACTGGGGGTGTTCACCAAATTTTCTGAAAGTGCTGAATAGTAACGTGATCTTGCAGTGATGTAATTGCACATTTGGAGCCAGTCGCTACTTCAAGCCAAATCAGGTTGTTCTTTGATTATGCGGTGTTGATGGGTGACCTCCCATGCTGCCAGAGTGATGATGTCTATAATACCCACATTTCATAAATAAAATTATGTTCGCTCATCGTGTAAACATGGTTCATTTTGTGAGTTTTATTATCATTCTTGTAACATTGAGATGGCTACGTAATAGACGATTCTAGCATGTGCATCAAAACTCCTTCGTGGTTAGGCTCAAATTAGCTTAGGCTGTTGTGAAGATAACGTGCATTATCTCTGAAACTTGGCATGTTAATCAAGTTTGCTCGTAAGTTAAAGTCTGCAAGCAATGGATTGAAACTGTTCTTCCATCTTCAAGTGCAGCAAAGAAAGAAGAGGCAGTGGCATGATCTGGATTATACCATGAATAAAGAAAGAATTTTTAGTCATCATGCAAAGAGCACAGAGGGGAAGCAGTATGTCGATGTGGCAATGAATAGTAGGAACTCTATAACCATTAAATATGCTTGGAATTTTAACTTTTGATAAAGTTTAGTAGTTGGAAAAAACAAAGTTAATTTATTGTTATAAATATATATAATTATTTGTGAGTTTTGGAAAGTAAAAACTATGTGTTATTGTACCGTTTTTAATAAAAGATTTAAGAATACTTGCTAAATTAAATGTTAAAGACACTTTATATAAATATTATGTGTTTTGAAGAACATACCATTAAAGAAGATGAATAGAGTGAATCATTACCCCTTAACTCCTTAACTGTATGTATAGTCAATCAAAGTGTAAGTAATTTTAAAATATAACTTTGATTATAACATTTTCTTAAGAATTATACTTAAAATTATATCTTAAGAGAATGTTATAATCAAAGTTTAAAGAGCTTTTTTAGGACTTGTAGAAACTTTAAGATATTATTCAATAAATTAAAAACAAAGAGATAGTGTTTGAAGTCAATGCCAAATTTTGATAGTTTTCAAAAGTGAAAGTGACTATTTTTAGATCTTAAGGAAACTATCTAAGTTCCAAAACATCTATTATATTATAAATTCAATATATATATATATATATATATATATTTAGTGCATTAAACATAGTATCATATGAAGGTAAGAATTTGAAGATTATTAATAAATTTTGTTGATCCAAATTCTATCATTAGGAAGAAATAAAATTGTGATTAAGTTTTAGAACATTTCTGATAACTCTAAAGATCTTCTATCAAAAAGTGTAAATATCCAAATAATGGAGCAATATTATTGGTGAATCTATTAATTTTAAAGATTTTGTACTTGATTATATAATACAAAGATTAAGAGAGAGAAAAAGAAAAAGAAAATAAAATAAAATAAAACCAGCACAAGTAGTCTCAAGTCAAAGATTTGATTCTTCTTACAAAATAAGGTAAAGAAATTATTTCTAAACGACACTCTAAGCAACACTCTAAGCAACCTGTTTCAGTTTAAAGTACAAGGCAAAGCAATTGAAGAGAATATATCAAAAATGTAATATATGAATTTAGAATAAATGATTGTATATTTTTGACAAATAGAAGAAGTTTTATGGCTTATGACTTAGATTAAGGGACTCATATATTAACATATATATATATATATATATTAACATATATATATATATATATATATATATATTACCATTGCACTTCTTATTTGACATTTATGAATATATTCTATGCATAAAGATACTTATAAAAAAATTGGCATAATCAAAGCTATTAGATTAAAATTTATTATTGTTAATATTCTATAATGAAAAAAAAAGAAAAGAAAAGAAAAGAAAAGAAGAAGATTAAATATATGTCTACCTAAAATAGAGTCAAAAGTATTTTTCATGAATAAAACTATTATAAGAGATTTTATGGTTTTTTTTAGGTAAATACTAATATAATATAAATTTTAAATAGAAAATTAATAGTCCCATATACAAGATTCAACAATTAATATCTGGTCATTTATAAGAAGGTGAATAGATAAGACATTGTTTCATTAATTGATTTTCTATCTTATTAAGAAAAAATTATAAAATTTTATTATTTTCTTAGCTATGTAAAAGGAAGTAGCACAAAAGAATTTCAAAGCATAGTAAATAACTTGAATTTGAACTAAAATACAAAAGACATATACTTGTGAAAAATGTATTGAGAATAAGTAGCAAATGACTTCATTTATAAATGGTGGAATTATAAGAACCACCAAGGTGTTTGGAGATAATGCATTTTAATGTTTTTTAACTTGTCCAAACCACATTTTTATTTTAAATTTGTATTAGCATTTTTCTAAGATAAATTTTTGATTTATTTACTTGATATTAATATTAATTACATTACAAATGTTTTAGACTTTCAAACTTTTGTAGAAAAACAATTCTAGGTCCATATAAAGTCATTGTGCATAGACACAGATAGCGAGTTTTAATCAAAGAGATTTTTTAGGATTTGGATGATACAATCAGTAGAAGAAAAATTTCCATGCTATATAGTGTTCAACAAAATAAAATTATAGAATGTATTAATTGTCTTATTATAGACATGTCAATGAATATTTTACATATTTAACACATAAGCCATGAATTTCAGACAAAAATAGTAATAAATGCAATGTACACACATCAGTGGTGCCCTGCTTATTTGTCCCACTTTGATATTTTATAAATAAAAAAAAGTTACATAAAAAGTCATAGAAGAATCCATTTTTTATAAATCTATAAAATACATAGGGATGTCATTTTTTTCTATTTTGTTTATATTTTGTAAAGTCATTTTTTTGCAATTGAAAATAAGTGGGAGAAGATTTTAAAAGAAAAAAAAAAAAAAAAAAAAAAAAAAAAAAAAACTATATAGTATATAAAAATTTACTCATTTATCTCCAAATTGTACAAATAGAATATAAGTCAATATTTCGTACCAAAATACTACCATTAAGTATAATTATGAAACTTAAGACAAGATTAGCTTCCAAATAATACTTATAAGTGCTTGATGTGGATTATAATAAGATATTTATATTTATTTCAAAATTTACTACCAATAGGACAATATTAGAAATTAAAGTAGGAATAGACTTGAAAATGAATGAAATGGATATACAGAAAATCTTCTTAAAGAAAGAGTTGGATAAGGAATTATATATTCAAAAATATACTTGTATATGGACAAGAGTATTAGATTTGTATAAGAAAGCAAAGAATTTTTTTGAATACAAGTAAAATTGTGGCATGGCTTCAGACATAGATCCACAATATTGTAATAATGCATTAATGTTAATAAAAGTTTAATAAATAATGAAGTGGATCTTTTATTTGTATGTCATGCAATTTAGACAACTCTTTTAAGTTATGATTTTTATATAGAAGTTTCAATCAACTTAGCCAATAAATAAATAAATAAATAAATAAAATAGAGAAAGCGTAAATAAAGTCTGTATTTGTAAGACTTTAAAAAAAACGACTTTGGAAAGTTATGTCATGAAAATAAATTTGAATAATAAAAAAATTATACCAAGCTCAATATTTTACAAAAGTCAAAGAAATTGCATCAAAGAAGTAACTTAACACTTCAACAAAAAAAATTAAAAATTAAAAATTAAATCTAATGGTATTCTATCTTATTTTCTAAAACATTTGTACCAGTTATAGTTAAAATAATATTTTTATACATAAAGCAATGTTAGACTCTCTAATATATAAAATAATAGGTATAAGAGTAGATCTTACACACAAAATATTACTTATGATTTAATGTATTTTTAAAGCTAATTTGAAAAATTAAAAAAAAAAAAAAAAAAAAAAAAAAACACTTATAAGAATGATTAGTAGTTAAAGGTCATATTAAAGCTCAAGTTGTGTCTTGGTAGTAATAACATAAAAGTGAATAGCTACAAAAGTGTACATTGGATTGATGATAAAGAAAATATAGATATTATTATATGTTTGATTACTGTATGCTATTGAAGTTAATTTTTACCTAGTCATTGAATCAAACTATCTACAATTAGACTATGTACTGACTACTTGTTAAAAAATCATAGTTTCTAATTAGTATATTATAGAGAAGTTGTCGTTACTTTATTAATATCTCTTATATTTAAGCTTTATACCAAACTAGTATAATAAATTTCTTATTTTAACTCAGCTCTACTTATCTATACAAAAAGCATTATTGCATCATAAAAAATGTTTTTCCACCTCCTTATACTAACATATATTTTGTCTTTACAACATATTTAAAATTGTGGTAAATAAGAAAAAAAAAAAATACTTTCTTAGTATATTAAAAATATTATATAAGTCAAATAAATATTAAATTTTAATTAGTTAAATAAATAATATTACTTCTTAATATTTTTTATTTATTCTTCCTAAAAAAATTAAAGTTCAGAATATTATTATTATTATCATTATTATTATTATTATTTAAATATTTATTTCTAAAACTACACTTAACTTGTATCAATTAGTCATAATATATAATTAATAAAGCAAACATTTAGACTTAATTTTTTATATTAATTTTATTTAAAAATTAAAATTACAAGTGAATTTTATTTACTTTTAGGCCTTATTGAAATATCATCTTTTTCTAATACCCTGTACTATCTAATCATCTTTCTTTCTTTGTATACTCTTCCTTCACATCTATCTTTCTTTTTTGTTGTATGATCTTTCTCAATTTTCTATGTTTTTCCTTTATTCTTTCTATTTATAATTTTTAAAGTTTTAACTCTATATTTCTTAAATACTTTTGAAATATTTTTAACCTTAAACAATAATTTATTTCTTGGCATAATATTATGTCTACCTACAACTAGATCTTTTTTTATATTTCTTTAATTCAATTTCTTCAAGTTAAATAAGGTTGTTAGGGTCATATATACCTTTAACAACAACAAAAAATTGATGCTTACAAAAATGAGATTAAAATATAGTTTGATAACCAAAATCAATGTTTAAAATTATCCCTTTGCCTTGGGTTATAAAACACAAGTTTTGCATGAACCATAGATTATAAAAATTAGAAAAAACTCAAGAAAAAAAAAACATCAAAGTTAGTACTGTACTATACATGATCTCTATGTACTTCTAAAATAATGGCGATAAACTTTTAAAGATCGAAAGTAAGTA